CAGGGCGGGCGGGGCTGGGTGTGTCTGCCCCCAGAAGGGTGCGGGAGCTAGGATGGTGGTGGGATCCCAGAGGCAGGAGGAGGCCTGCACCCCCCCCCTCTAGTCCGGGGGTGCTCACTCTGAGGGGCTTTGGCGATCCTGGGGGCATGGAGAAGGGCGAGGGGAGTCAGGCCCACTCAGCACGGCGGAGAGCAGCCCTCCCCGGCAGTCCTCGCGGCGCCCACGCAGCGTTTGGTTGGACTGAAACGCCTGCAGCTGAGAAGTCAAAGATTGACTTCTGCTGGCTGGCCGCTCCCTGGGCCGGAATCTCCCCCTTGTGTGAATCAATTATTTATTTGGGGGGCAATGAATTGGGAAAGCATTGCTATCTTTTTCATGGACCTGGGCAAAAGAATTCACCAGGAGCAGCCCTGGGTCTGGCTTCAGCCAGGAGTAGCTTGTTTTTTCGCCCAAAGAACATGTAGCGACTTGTGAAGGTGAAACTCCTCAGCGGTCACAGGAAATGCACCCCATTTCTCTGCCGGCTGAGGGGGAAGTACTTTGTTCTTCTTTGAATCATAATTTTGAAACCCCAGAATTCTCTGGGTGGAAAAAAATGTTCTCTTTTTATATTTACAGAAAGAAAACATTAAGATCCCCAACAGAAAAAAAGGGGGAAGAATATCCTAAAATGAGTCACACAGGAGACAGGATTCTTGAAAAGTGCTGGGAAACCTTCGAGCTCAATACTAACCAATTCAGCTTTCAACAACCAGCATCTGTTTGCATGGACTGAATGAGCAAAAAACCTTTCAAAATGACCACCCCGAATGCTAGTGAGGGTGCAGTGAAGCAGGCACACTCATCCCGCAGGCGTCTGCTAAGCGCCCGCTCTGGACCCGGTGCTGCTGACTGGCCCTCTGCTCCTCCCGGGACCTCGCCATGTGACCCTGGCCGGCGGTAACTCCTTCAGCGTGGAGAACCCCTGGGGACGCTGCCCACGAGTGGGAGCACAAAAGCATACTCCCAGAAATACACTGAGCGCAATACATGTGGCTGCGTGAAAGCAGCTGACACTCAGGCTAGCAGGTGGAAGGGACACCGGCCGTGAGCAAGAGTGGGACAGCCTGGTGGACCCTGAACTGAGAGTAGAGAAAGAAAGACCAAAGAGAGGAGATGGCATCGCCCACGCGGCGCCAGAAGCCTCACACAGCCACCAAGGCGCTCGGAGGAAAGCAGGAAGGGTCTCAGCTCTAAATCTCGGTAAGAAATCACTGATTTTTCCATTCAGGCACCGGGGGTCCAAAAAAGTCCTGGCTGACGTCCCTCCATCAGCGGGGACCAGGCTTCAGTACTGGGGCCTCGTCCAGGCACCCGCTTGGCCACACACGTTATTAGTTAATTCACCATCCCAACGATAATTCATTCACCGACCAATCATTCTTCTTCCACGGGCATTAATTCATTCAGCTGCACATTCTGCCCATCACACGCTCATTCGCTTGTACCCCCGTCACTCCCACACCGGTTCATTCCCCTGCTCACTCATTCAGTCGTTCACTGTCCCCTCCATTCATTCATTCATGCACTGGTCCTTTCACTAGTTGCTCATTCACACTCCATTTATTTGCTCATCTGTTCACACTCCATTCATTCATTTGACCACCTGATGGTTCTGCCACCCGGTCATTCATTCTGCCCGGGGCCTCATTCCTCTGGTCCTTCCCGGGCCAGTGCCTCCCATGGGTGTGGGTGCCCCTCACCTTGTTGTCGGCACTAATGAGGAGGGGCTGGACTTTGATGCTGTCGCTGACCACGGACACGGCGGTGCTGGGGGCCATGGCGGCGGCATTGCTGGGGGCGGTGGAGATGATGGCGTAGGCCACACCGGCGCTGCTCAGTGGGGAGGTGATGGCGGCGGCCTCGGCCAGGGCCTGGGGCTGGCTGCTGGGCGTTGGCACATGGCTCACGGTGTTGTTGGCAGTGGGGAGGGCTGGGCTGGGGTTCTTGATGCTGACCACGGTGGCCTTCTGGAATGTTGGGGGCTGCTTGGGGGGCCGGTCCCGGCCTGGGGTGACGGGGAGGCTGTCTGGAATCAGAGTCTTTGGCCTAACCTGGAGAGGGAGGGACAGTTGCGTGGTCAGATAGACGCACAAACAGGGTGATGACATGCAGCCCCGAGCAGAGCCAGGACTCAGGAAGAATCCAGAGCACAGGCTTGGACACGACCTGGCTCAGACACCCCCATGTTCGAGGAGAGGGGACGGCAGTTGCGAGGCCGTGGTGCCACCAAGGTTGCCCGGGTCCTGGACTGGCACCGACCGGCCTGGGGGCTCTGGTCTCCAGTAACCTGAGTGGAGGGAGAGGTCTAAGGTGGTTTCCGCAGGGCTCCGTGACCTCAGGAGGTCCCCTCAGTCAGGCGGGCACCTTGTCTGTAAGTTCCCTGCAGGGCTGGTCTTTATTCAGGTGGCCTTTCCTCCTCCACCACGGCGGGCCCTCAGCACAGCAGGCCTGCCTTCTAAGCACAGAACCGACATCCCCACCACCAGAGGACGCGCAGAGGCCGGGGTGAAGGCCTCATGCCTGCCCTGGGGGTGGCCAGCCTGGGGTCGGACAAGCCTGTCCCGCTCTGACCTTGACACAAGTGGTCAGGGCCTCTGATCCCCAGACACCAGGCTCGGAGCTGGACACAGACATTGATACCGAAAGTGGAAAACAGAAAGAATTCCTCTGGTCCTCACCAGGCCGTGGCTGCAGACGGTCACCAGCTCGGGGACTGCTCTGCTCTGGACCAGAGTGGGGCAGGTGGGGTGGGTGGTGGTCAGCGAGGACCCCAGCTGTGATCCCGGCTCACATCCCAGGGAGCCAGCCTGCACTCTGTCAGCCCCTCCCCATCATTCAAGGTTTGCCCACGTGTTCTGGTTCACACTGGCCAGCCAACAGTACACCATCCGGACTCTCAATGTGGGTCAGCTGGCCCCAGGCCACCGGGGCCAGACTCTGAACATAAGCTTAGCCAGAGGCTCAAGATTTGGCTCAAACATGTGGGCCTTCAACCCAGAGAAACACATTCGAGAGACCCCAGAGCTCATGACCTTTTGCTGGTGCTACCTGGCCCCAGGCCCGGTCCTCCTCCCAAAGGAGCCTCCAGGGGTCCTCCCCGCCCTCCACGCGCCTTCCTTTCTCTGGGTCTGGGGTCGGGCCCCATGCAGGCTGCCTCTCCTGCTCCCCACGTGGCTTCTGGCAACAGCAGCGGCCAGCAGCCAAGCTGGTGGGCACCTTTTGGCCTGAGCTGACCCACCTGGAGGCCACCGAGTCAATGGCAGGTCCAGACGTGTGTTGGGAGGACGCAAGGGCAACACATGCGATCAAAGTCCCAGAGCAGCAAGGGGAGAGGAAGGCTCAGGAAAGGTGCAGAGGCCGAGCTGAGTGGCTACGTGAAGATGGCTCATGCCTGCGTATTTTGTGTTAAGCTGTGCGCGTGCGTGTGCGGCATGTGTGTGCGCGTGTGTGTTTGCAGTGCACACGCTGGCGTGGAGGGAGGGGCGGGCCTTGGACTTTCACAGCTGAGGGGGGCACATGAGAGTGACAGCTCCTAGGGACACAGCACTGACCTTGGTCAGAAGCCTCTCCCTGGAGGCCCAGTCCTGACTGTCCCTTGCCCAAACACCTTCCATAGCTCCCCATTGCCAGCAAGTCACTGACAACCAAAGCTCAACTCCATGACTCAACATGGGAGGCCCCCAAAGGCCCACGTCTCCACCTCTGTGCCTGCTCCCGCCTCCCCCTCCAGTGCTGCGAGGCCCGCGGTTCCAGCCTCCCACTGCCATCTGCCTGCAGTTCTCACCGGGATGCCCGTTCCCTGGGGCCTGCCTCCACCTTGGACTGCCAAGACTGTCCACCCTCAGAGGCCTGCTTCAAGCACCACCTCCTCCAGGAAGGCCTCCCTGACCCCCAAGTAGGCATGGGCCTCTGCAGGGCTCTCAGAGCTCCTGGGAATCCTTCTGACTCAGCCCAGTCACTCTGGGTTCGTCTGATTCCTCATCTGCCCCCTCCTGGAATCTGAGCCTCTTAGGGGCAGGACCTGTCAAGTTCAACCCAGGCAGGCCCTCAGCGAGTGAGGCTGCTGTGAGGACAAGAGGGCCAGGGCAGCCCCTCCCTGTCCCCGAGTTGGGGGCCTCTGCCCAGCCCTGTGGCCCCAGGACAGGCAGGAGCCGTGGTCACCTGTGCAGCCGGCAGCCCCTGGCAGCTCAGCGGCAGGTGCCCCACGGAGCTGAGCACCGGGTGGTAACCCTCGGGCTTCTGCTCCGCGCCGGGCGCCACAGTAAAGGCTTTGTGCCGCCCAGTTCTGTCCTCACGGCCCCCAGGAGGCACCAGCATCCCCCCCCCATTGGCAGACAGGCCGACTTGGCCAGGAAGGTTAACAGGCCAGGCGACTTGTCCGAAGTGCGGAGCCCAGTCAGGGGGCCCCGGCCCAGCGTCTGTGCCGTCTCCCAGAGGGCACCGCTTGTGACCCACACTCAGAAGTCTTCATGACACGTGACCCAGTCCAGGAACAAACTGCTCACGAAACAATGCTTATGGTGTCTCTTGGTATTTTCTCTTCTGTTCTAGTCCAGCCTGGCTTATGTCATTAAAAAGAATTCCGGTCATAACTCACTAAATCGACTCCACAGCTCCTCCCGGTGTGGAAACCGTGTGTGGTGCAAATGTCTCCTCTGAAGGATGGGCAAAAGAGACGGGGGGGGGGGGACTCCCACGTGGGTCACGCCCAGCTCAGTGCCCACCTAAAACCTCAGTGCTGAGGGGCCGCGGATGGACAGACAGACAGACACCCCGGGGCCTGCCCGTGGGTGGCTTACCTGAGGTAGCACTGCCGCTCCTTGCCCGGCCAACCTCTGCAAGGAGCTGACCTGAGGACCCGTGACAGGCACTGCAGTGATGGTTCCCAAAGCCTGGAAGACAGAGGAGGGCAGTGCTGAGATGGGACATGACGCTGGGGTGCACGTGACCCTGCCCAGCCTGGAAACAGTGAGCTCTGCTCTCTCTCTGAATTACAAGTTGTTCAGTCACAAAAGTAACATGTATCATGCAGGAACTTCTGGAAACCAGAGAAAGAACAGCATCCCAGAGAACAATCACCCTTTGTCCCACGTTAGCTGCCTTGTACGTACTTTCCTGTGTAGCTGCACAGAGAATTCTGTAACCGGTTTTTCCATTTTTTTACTTAAACACATGTAAGATTTCCCGATGTGGCTACACTCTTCATAAATCACTCCTTTATCGTCTTTCATTCAGCAGATGTCATGGTATTTCCTCAACCAATCCCCTCCTCTTAAAAAAACTTGGTTTTTTCCCCATCCTTTTTTGATTAATAACCAGTGCTTGCAGCGCACATCTCTGTGATTGATGCCGTTGCCACATCACAGAGAATTTCTGCAAGGGTCTGAAAACAGGGGTCAGTGGGTGGGAATTTCAGGAGGCAGGACTATGTGGGGCCCCTGATACAAGTCCCCACCAGGCTACTCAGGAGGCGTGACGACCAGGGCTCACTCTGACGCAGACACAGACCTCAGCCTCCCAGTCAGGGCTCTCTCCGCGCATGACCGGGCGGCCACAGCAGCAGCAGGGCGGGCACTTAGGGTAGGGAGACGGGCGGTGACACCCTCCCTGGGGCCCCAGGCCCACACAGGTGCAGAGGCTGTGTTTCGGGGTGCCTGTCTACCTCAGGTCCCCTTTCTGGGAATCACCACAGTTCCACGCAGCTGCCGTGGTACCCACAGGCCTGCCTGATGGAGAGAGGCGCTCTCACTCGGAGCCAGCCAAGCCACCAGTGGCCAGTGACCAGGGAGGTTCTCTCTTGAACTTAGAAGCCGAAATTCTTAACAAAGTGTTAGCAAATCAACCCCAACAATAATAAAAAACGAGTAACACGTGCTGAACACACCGAACGCGCCCCGGGAACGCGAGGCTGCCCCACCGCGGGGAAGTCAGTTGGCAGAAAAATGGTACGGTTCTCTCAACAGCTGCAGAGAGAGCACTGAGCAAAATTCAACGCATGAAAAAAATTTCAGCAAACTGGAATGAAAGATAACCTCCTTAACCTGATAAAGGGCATCTATAAAATGTGAGCCGCTACCCTCAGACTTAATGATGAGAGAGAACGCTTCTGCGCTGAGGTCAGGACTGAGGCAGGGTGTCCTCTCTCTCCACTCCTTGCCGCCCCTGGACTAGAAGTCCTAGCCGCTGCAATAAGCCAAGAAAAAGAAAGAAAAGGCCTTCAGATTAGGAAGAAATAAAACTGCCTCTGCAGATGGCAGTAGCATCTATGTAGAAACTCGTATGGACTCTACCAAAAAAAAAAGCTGTTAGAACTAATAAATGAGTTTAGTGAGGTTGCAGGATACAAGATCAACATAGAAAAAGCAACTGAATTTCTACATACTAGCACCAACATTTAGAAATTAAAAAATGTTTACTAGCCATTTGCAGTTGAATCAAGAAATAAGGAATTTCTTATTGAAATTTTAATGAGAGAAATTTTTAAAAGACCTACCTAAAGAGAGAGACACATCATAACCATGGATCAGAGGCTCAGTATCGTTAAGATGTCAGTTCTCCCCAAACTGATCTGTGGCTTCAATGCAACCTCCATTAAAATCTATCCCCCCCCAAAAAAGGTAGAAATTGGCAAGATCCTTTCCAAATGCACGTGGAAATGCAAAGGACCCACAACAGCCAAAACAACTTGAAACAAACAAAAACAACATCAAACAAAATAAAGGACTTACACTTCCTGACTTCAAGACCTGGTATAAAGCTATTATAATCAAGACTGTGGTATAGGTATTAAGTTACACAAATAGATCAACGAAACTGCGTAGAGTCCAGAAACAGACTCACACATATGGTCAACTGATTTTCAGCAAAGACTGCAAAGTCCACTAATTAAGTGGAAAAAGGACAATTGTTTCACAAATGGAGTTGGAACAAGTGGATACCCATAAAAACAAACGAAAACATAACTTCAATCCATACCATGCACATATTGAAAAAAAAACAACAGGTGGATCAGAGACCTAAATGTAAAGTCTAAAACTATAAAACTTCCAGAAGAAAACATAGGAGAAAATCTTTGGGGCTGTGGGTTAGGCAAGAGTCTTAGATACCACACCAAAAGCGTCATCCATCTAAGAACAAATTAATAAGCTGAACTTCAAAAAAATTAAAAACTATTGAAGCTGGAAAGACAGTGTTAGGGGAATGAAAGAACGAGCCACAGACTGGGGGAAAAAAACATGAGCAAATCACCTCTCTGACAGAAGCTTGTATCCAGAACATATAGAAGAACTCTCAAAACTCAATAACTAGAAAACTAACAACCCAATTTAAAAATAGTTTGAACAGATAATTCACTAACGAAGATATGCTGATGGCAAATAAGCAAATGAAAAGATACTAAACACCATTTGTGATTAGGGAAATATGAACTAATCCACAGTAAAGACCACTACGCACCCATTCAGATGGCTACAATGAAAAGGCAGACAAGTCCAGAGCTGGTAAGGATGTGGAGCAGGGCCCCCATCACTCTTGGGAACATAAAGTGGTGTGGTCACACTGGAACTCAGTTCGGCAGTTTTGTAAAAAGTTACACATGCTTGTACTGCTGTGGACTGGGTGTCAGTGTCCTCCCAGAATTATGAGGAAACTAACCCCCAGGGTGACGGTATTTGGAGATGAGGCTTTGGGGTGACCAGGCCGTACGGGTGGGGCCGTCATGATGGGTCAGCGCCCTTATAAGGAGAGACTTGAGAGGGCTTGCTTCCCCCGCCTCCTGCCAGGTGAAGACACAGCAAGAAGGAGTCTGCCATGATCTGAGTGTGTCCCCCTAAAAGTCACCTGATGGAGTTACAAGGCCGGGCCTTTAGGGGGTGCTTAAGCTCTGAGGGTGGAATCCTGATGAAATGAATGGGATTAGTGCCCAAAAAGAGGCTCCAGAGAGTCCTAGCCCTTCCCCCAGGAAAGAATACAATGAAAAGTCTGCAGCCAGAAAGAGAGCCCTCACCTGACAGTGCTGGCACCCTGATCTCCGAAGCCCGGCCTCTAGAACGGTGAGCAATGAACCGCCGATTACAGTGAGCTACTGAGTCTCCTGTGTTTTGTTACAGCAGCTAGAACAGACCGAGAAAGCATCCATCTGCAAACCAGGAAGAGGGTTCGCACCACAAACAAAACTAGCCAACACCTTCATCTTGGGCTTCTCCAGAACGGTGAGACAGAAATGTTTATTGTTAAAGCCACCAAGTAGATCATATTTTTGTCACAGCAGTCCTGACTAAAACACTCTACTTCTAGGCATTACCCATGAGAAATGACAGCACATTTCCAGACAGAGGCTTGTTCGTGAACATTCACAGCAGCTCTCCTGTGATAACCCAAACTGGAAACAGCCCAAACATACATCAGTGGCTCTGCAGATGAACAAACTGTGGTATGTCCATCCGATGGAATATTACTCGGCCATGAAAAAGGAACCAAGCAATTGATACATGTAACATAGATGAATCTCAACATAATTTTGCTGAGTGGAAGGACCCAGACAAGAAAGGAGGATGTTTTATTGTATGAGGCCATTCATATGAAATTCCAGAAAATGCAAATTAATCTAAAGGGACAGAAAACAGATCAGGGGGTATATGGAGGTGGGGAGAGGAGGAGGAAGGTGTTTCAAAGGAGAAACTTCTGAGGGTGAAGGGTGCGTTTACTATCTTGATTCTGGTGATGGTTTCACAGGTGTGCATCTGTCAAACATATAGCACACTCTAAATATGTATATTGTATATGTTACTCCAACAAAGCTGCTAAAAATAAACTCCTTTCCTCTTTCCCCCCTTATTGCTCTCTGCCCCTGGAATGAGTGTCATCCTTCCCCAGATAACACAGCAGAGGGTCTCAGGCCCCACAAGTTCCAGAGCTGCTTGTCCCAATAATGATAAGATGGTTCCTCCCTCCTCTGGAACGTGCCACTTGGCCCAAGTGGGCAAAACTCTGAGGTTCACATCCTTCCAGCCAGCTGCCTGCCTCTGCATGGAGCCAAATTATCCATATTTACCTATAAATTCACTGTGGACATGTGGTGGAATGGAGCTTTACATGCAAGACAGAGGGCATTAAAAACAGGTGTGGGATAAAGAAGTTGTATATTTACAATGGAATACTACTCAGCCATAAAAAAGAATAAAATAATGCCATCTGCAGCAACATGGATGGACCTGGAGATAGTTATTCTAAGTGAAGTAAGCCAGAAAAAGAAAGAAAAATATCATACAATATCACATGTAAGTGGAATTTAAAAAAAAAGACACAAATGAACTTATTTACAAAGCAGAAACAGACTCACAGACCTAGAAAACAAACTTATAGTTACCAGGGGGAGAAAGGGAGTGGGAAGGGATAAACTGGGAGTTCAAGATTTACAGATACTAACTACTATATATAAAATAAACAAGTTTATATTGTAAAGCACAGGGAACTATATTCAATATCCTGTAGTGACCTATGATGGAAAAGAATATGAAAAGGAATACATGTATACGTATATATATATATGACTGAAACACCATGCTGTACAACAGAAACTGACACATTGTAAACTGACTATACTTCAATTAAAAAAAAAAAACAGACGCAGTCACTTTATGAGAAAGCGTCTCCATCCACTGTGCCATTTCCTGTCCGCCTCCAGCACTGCCCTGTGCCCACATTCTCAAAGATCCTGCCCCGGCTTCCGTAAAGGAAGGGAAGGCTGTGCCCTCCCCCTTGCCAGACCTGCTGTCACATCAGCGTCACCCGCGCAGCCTGTCTGCGGTCAGATCCCTGGGCCCGGCCTAGACTTGCGCAGGTGGGAGGCAGGCTTGGGGGAAGCACTATTTGATTAACGAGCTTCCAGGTGATTCTGCCAACGTGGGGGCCATGGGCCAAAAAGAAGCTGGGCTGTCCCTCCAGCAGGTTCGGCAATGAAAGGCCCGCAGGTGTGCCATCACTCC